GGGCTGGGTAGGCCACGGACACAGCACAACCTCCTCACGACGAAAAGCGTTCGACCGAATTTTTTCCCCAAGATTTCGGTCGATTTTCGGAAGAGCTAAGGGTTGACCAACTTCGCTACAACGAACATCCAGGTACTAATGCGGCAGACCGTGACGAGCCTTTCAAGCCGGAAAGCATGGGATTGGGGGAGGTGCTCCTCCCATTAAAACCCATAGGACAAGCATCGACTATGGGAGAAAATATTCGAGGGATGATTGTGGCCATTCGAAGGCTCTGCCTGGCGACAGTGGCGAACCTACTCCCGATGCTGCCCGGGTCGGACCCCTAGCTCGATGCCGCTCATATTTCTCGAAAGGTCGTTTTCCGAAGTCGAGACGATATCGATCCAAACGTCGATGAATGCTAATTATTGGAAGGAACGAATGAAGTCAGCTCCGAGCGTATTCTCGAAATCAATCTCTCAGTTTTGTAATCAATAACAATAAGTTATGACAATCAGAAACCAACGCTTTCGCTCTGAGATTTGGGAACCGCGGAATGTCGACTGCTCGCGATCATGCTCTTCCTCCTTGGGCGAGCTCGCACGGAAAAAAACCCGTTCCATTTGAACATAGGCTCATTGAATCCGCTCCTGGCAGAAGGCATTGTCAATGCACGATTGGACCGCACCCTGCCGCCTCTCTTCAGGTATGCCATAGCCTGACAAGTTCTGGATCTTCGCGGATCGTCTCGGTGTCTCGAGGCTCTCGTTTCGATTTCCCGATCGCCACGCCGAGGATTTTTTGCTCTCCGTCGTAGTTACTTTTCGCTGGCGACGGGATTAAAAGGACAGCAGAGAACGCAGTTTATTATTCCGAGCAATCGGGTGGAATCGCCTCGCTCGAATCGAGCGGGAGCAGAGAACAGCAGCTGCTGCGGCAGTTGTTGTGGCATAACCACGACCCACGACAGAAGACGCCGTCCATCGAAACGAATCAGAACGGCGAAAACTTTGTAATTTGAGTCCGCACTCGAGTCTGCAGCGGAGCGATCGTCCGGCCGTGCTGAGTTGTTCCGCCAAAACACATATGCAGAGCCTGTTCTATGACTACAGAGCGCTGGTTCGATCCGTTGCTGGAAAGAAGCGACGGATATGACCTGACGACACTTCTCCCATTCTGGACGGGAGACTCGGGACGGTTTCCGAGAGCGATTGCAAAAGTTCGTTGTCTCGAGTATCGTGATCTGGGAAAGTCGCGATTCCAGACAAACATTGCGGAGTTATTACGTGCCGGTCGGGTCCCAGCCTCGAAACTCCGATTGGATTGTGTTATCCATATACGGTTTACACGGAATCCACAGTTTCGGACCCGGGTTTTCCGGTCAAGTCTGCTCCATCGCTCCGGTCGGCACTGCCTCTGCTCTCTTGAATCCGACTCATCCTTTGATGCGCTCATCATCAAGCATCTCGTTGTTATTGTTGAGCCGACTCAGGCGTCGGAGGGATACTGTGCATAGCATAGCAGGGGAACAAAAACTGTGGGTCGTCCATCGAAATTCGCGGGAGTACCTGCTCGTAACATAGGAATTCGGTTTGATTTCTTGTCCCTTGTCAGTGACATGGCCTTGAACACAATTCGTGAGTACGAGAACGACTTTCCTCGATCCGAACGGTATGTCCGAGAAATCGGTCTGGACGCACCATGGAAGTCGCACTGAGAGAGCCGGGAAACGCTCGAGTACTCCGCAGGAGCGGCCTTCCTGGAGAATCAAGCCGAGGAGTGCTAGTATGGTTTCGAGAGGCCCTGTCAGAGAATGAATGCCTGAGGAGTGAAGTCGCCGGGACAGGACGCGCACCGAACGATTCCGGCCCCGCTGTTGCTCTCGTGGTACGAGAATAACTCGCTTCTTGGCGATTAATTAATTAAGGACTTATTAAGGGCTCCTCTGGACCAAATAGTCGCGGCTGCCGTCCGATGCCTAACGCCCCCGAAACGTCGGTCCTGGGCCGCTCGGAGCTGCGTTCCCGTGCGCTCCTCATCCTTGCGTCCAAGATATCCCATGGCGTGCCGGACAGTCCGAGCACGTACTTGTAAGTGTTGTTTCTGTCATTGTTGTTGTTGTCGTCGTCGTCGTCGCCACCCCTCCTCTGGAACAGCCGAATTTGTTGACCTCGTCTTGTGCTGGTCATCCTAGGTTTGTCTTTCGCTCGCTGTCGTAATTGGTTGCTTCCGTCTCGGAATTCCTTTTGTTTCCACGAGGAAAATCTCGTCATTTTGTGTCACGTACTCATCCGTATTTCTGACGACCGTAACGGAGGGAATTACGAGCCGAAAGAATACAAGCAGTCTTGCCGAGGATGAAGCTTTCTGCTTGACATCGCTCCGCTCGGAAGGAGCTCGCACCTGGTAGCGGCGAGAGTTGAGGAAGCGCCTGCTCTCGTCATGCAAATTCAGCGGTCTGCAATATCGCGTATTTTTTTGGCGCGAACAGCGAATGCCTTGGTCGGAGATGCGACCTCTCTCTGTGCGGCTGTTTTTTTTCCGAATTCCTTTCTGGAGAGAAGACTGCTCATTGCTAGTGGGTAGCAATCAATCATGAAACAAGGTGTGACATCGAGATGGAGATTTTATTTCAATAATCAAAGTATGATCAGTCGGACACCGCTTCCCCAGACAGCGATCCGATCCGACACGAGACGCTCAGAGGAATCAATAGATGAAATGTATTCTCTCCAAAAGCGAGCTGCTCTACTGATGCGACATCTCTGACGAAAGCACTGATTGCCAAATCGATTCGACGCTGTGGTCGACGCCTTTTTGAGAACGAGGGGGAGGGACAGGCAGCGATCGGGGGGAAACACACGATAGTGGAAGATAGAGAGAAGAGGAAGACACTTATCGCAGCGGCAGATGTCGTGTCGTTGATGGCAGCGCGGCCGGTGGATGGGCGCGTGGGAAAGAAGAAGCCGGGAGATAGGTGGAGCAGTTGCCCCAAGAGCGGCTTCCGTCTAGATCTACCCTTGGATTGGCGGTGACTCGTCGAGCCGCACATCACGGACCCCGTTCGTCGCGCCCGCGTGTCCCGTGTTCCGCTCCCCATGATCATTTGCGCCTCAGAAAAGCATTGACTGCCAACAGCAAGGCACGTGTTTGCTTTTTAAGCGCTTGTTCAGAAACTATCTCCATCTTGCCACGGGAGTTCCGCCTTCATCTCTTTCGGATAGATGACGCGAGCTCACCTAGAGCATGAGAACTGTGATCCTCATTCCTTGGATTTTTAATCACTTGAAAGTTACCCATCATCAGGGTATCGCTATTATACCCGCACGATATCTTTGGTCGATCTGCTTCGAGTAGTCCGTAATAGGTTGGAGTTCTCCACGGAAAATCACCACCGAGTCGAATATCCCCCCCAGCTTCACACTCGTGTTCACTGATCACGATTAGGTCTGCCGTTAAAGCGAACGGACGCCTTTGGACCTATGGGCGAATTTCTCGCCAAGGAGGAAGTGGCGGAACCTCTATACCGCCCGGTCGTCCTCGGGTTGCTTTCCTCTCTCGACCCTCATTTTTTCCCTTCCAAATCGCCCCTCCTCCCTACGGCGGGCTCGCTGCGAGCTTCCATCGTCCGATAGCTTAACCAAAGTCCACTCGCGAAGTCGCTCCTCTCGGCTGCAGTGCGCCAAATTCCTCGCTTGATGAGATTTTCTTTTCCCTCATTTCGGGTGCAATTCGATTTGCGAGTTGGTCTAAATTTTCTGAGGACTCTTATATTTTTGGCTCACTCAGTCAAGATCCCAACCGATAAGGCTGATGATGATGAGGGGAAGATTAAACGGAGGCTTGCGAGGAACGTAGGTTTCCGATCTCGATGCTCTGTCGGACTGTCGGCCGGAATCACGGTATGTCCCTCCGGTCCGGGTCAGCGGGAAACTCGTTTCATTCGCGAATTCGCTCGGGGAACTCTCATCGCTCCATAGAATGCTGGGAGCTCTCAACTCCGTCAGATGTCCCGAAGAGGGCTCGTTCTCCGTCCCACATGGAAACCGAAGAGCAATACGGCATCGAAGATGATGTATTCTATATATTAGAGCATGCGAGCAATGAGGCTCCCCCTTGGAGACGAGCATTGATTATTACGTATGTGGTAGCGATAATCGGTATTCGAGCGCTATTCGCCCCCATCGAGTACGATCCCAAAACGTCTCTTGTGGTCAGGAAACTCGATTCTCGGCAGGGAAATCCAGTCCCATCTTGTGTTCCTGGAAGCCAAAGGTGGGTGAAGTGCTCGACAAAGGACGGAGACGGACTTGGAGGGAATACTCTTCGACAGCGGGGGCCAATCCATTTTAGGTGCGAGTCACTTTGACCGCCAGCAGCGGTCCCCGAGGTCATCAGGTCAACTTTGAACTCCGTGCAGCCTCTTCCCACTGGCAAGGTGACGGCCGAGCGTACAGAGTCAATCTCGATGTCCGTTCTTTCCACTCTATCGGAAATGAACGGGCATTGCGAGTTGCGCACGTTGCACATTCACACCCCCTGTGTCACCCTCTATTCGGCAGCCGTCCTCCCTCCTTGCTCCTTCTCCTTGGATACGCTGCAGATGTTCTTCTCTTTGAACGAAAGGAGGGGGTCCCCACCTCGACAGGAATTCTCCCACCTTGAGTGCCTGCCGATGGAGTGTTTAGGATTCTGCTTTTGAAACGTGCCTCCGATCATGAAATTCCGCACATCGATGGCTGTAAGAGAAGCACAAAAATTCTCCCTCGCGATGCGATCTATCCGGCTACTCCAAGCGTGATGCTTGCTGAGAATTCTAGAATCCGATATAGGTAAGTATCTAGGGTAAGCATCTTCCGACAAAGGAGTAGCGCTGCGGTCTTCTCTTGATTGAGACGAGTAGATTCCAGGACGAGAATGGCTGGGAATGGACGTCCTTTTTATTATCACATACACTCTCCTGATGAACAGTCGCTGGACTCTCATTCGGTGTGAGCTTAAAAAATTATTTCATCTCTCTAAACATCTCTTAGTGCTCTCTTGGCAACCTGAGTCACATTCCGTGCTCTCAAGTACTTTGAACAGTCAGCTGTCGCTTCATCGGGGGAAGACTCCAGAATGCAAATATTGTAACGAGCTTCGAAATTATCAGCCTGCCATCGTACGACTTCTTGATAGCACTGGAAGTGAAATGCGCTTTAGTGTTCAGTCGTACTGCCAAACTCTCTGGCTATCCACCTGAACTATGGCGAAGCTCACCTTGTACGCCTCTGATTTCCGTCCGAGATGGATCATATAAATGTCTGCCAGGAGCATCGTGCCTCTGACGTATCCGGGATGTAAGGCAACAAGCTTTTCCAGGAAATGAACTGATTGATTGTACCGCTGGTCCTCGTATAGAAGTACTCCGAGGTTGAAGAGAGCGCTCCGGAAATCGGGGTTCACAGTCAGGGCTTTTCGGAAAAATCTTTCCGCTCGGACGCGATCGGTTTCTTGAACAGCAACCATCGCGAGATTGAACCAGACGTGTTCCGCGATCCTTTCGTGTAACAGACCAAGCTCTTGAACTCTGTCACCCAGTCGGCGGCGCATTCTCGCCTCGCTCACGTGTTGCAGGCACATACTGAGGCTGACAAGTGCGTTCTGTAAATAATTACCGATTCTTGAATTGAGAAAGGCCCAGACATCGCCGTACCTGGATCATAAGTCTCACCTGATGCATCTTGTCCAATGAAAGAACAGTCAGGAACTCCTGGACGGCGTTGTCGCTGTGGTTTCCAAGCTTCATGAGAACGACGCCCAGGTTGAAATGCGCATCGGCATCCAAGGGTTTCAATCGTACGGCTTTTTTATACATTTCGACAGCCTCGGATAGACGTCCCATTTTAAGGAGAATCTCGCCGCGATTCGTATATGCATCCACATAGTCGTTTTTCATCGCTATCGCCTCTTTGTAGAGCTGGAAGATTCGTGGAAAAATTCGAAAATCACCAGGGTCACGCTTTTCCAGCAGGAATTCTCCAAGACGCGTATTTCCGTGCCCTCTGAGAAGTGCTCACCGAGTCCGCCTCACTGAGACGACTGTTGTTGCGAGTTATGAGATTCGCAAGATTAACAAACAGATTGAGATGAGCTGGAGCGAGGCGAAGTTCCACTTCCGATGATTCGCTGGTTCTCCGGGGCAATAATGCATGGGCACGACTGTATGCTGCCTCTGCCTCAGTCAATCGATTCAATTTGGAGAAAGCTCTCCCCAGGTTGATGAACGAGCCTATATCATCCGGCTGCAACCTGGCGGGATGTTTTTCATCTCGGAATCCCGTCGTCTCTAAGTAACAATCGTTAAGAGACGCTAATTTAGGGATTCGGTTCTTCATTACCTGCTCGCTTCGGTGAAGAATTTCAGTGCGCGCTCGTGCTCATCCTGTTGTTGGTAAGCGAAGCCGACATTATTGAAAAGCTTCGCATTGAGCGGGTTCATACGGAGCCCCGATTCATACAATGTGATCTCGCTTTTCCAGTCTCTGTTGCGTTGGGCAGTCTTGGCACAGAAGCTCATGAACGACGACATCGCTAAGAATCGGCATAGGCTGAAAAGAACGGAATCCGACAAGTAGACATGCTTGCTCCGGCCATTTTGGAGCACGAGCTAAAAAACCAGAGCAACTGGGGCACCGACAATCGACGGAGCCAGAGTCACATTGTTCATTGTCGATGGACAATCCGAATCCGATACAATCGCTCGACCAACGCACATCCCCCAGCGGGTCGGGCCTGGAAGACGCGTCTCTCGCTGTGCAGACTCACAGTTTGTTTTTGTCGTGAATCTTCTCGAAGCCGTTCGCCACCAGCATGCAGAAGCCGATGCTCGGCACGTACAGTACGCGCTCGGCCACGACGAATCCCACCGGGAAGAACAGGTTGGATGCTGGAATAAATGGGATGACCAACATCGCCATCGATATCAGTCGCGCGTGAAAAGTCTCGCAGTGCGATTCCTTCCGTGCAACACTAGAGACCATCAGGCCGTAGAAGAGGAACGTGTACAAGTTGCGTACATCCGTCGAGGTCAAAAGAGGGATCGAGCCCATGGTCCAGTCGCAGCATAGACGGTACGGGAAGAGGAGAATTTCGAAGTTGAATAAAGGCAAATACGCGAAGGTTAGCTGCCTAACCGGTGGGGGCGATAACGCTGCCGGGTTGTCGAACCTATGAAGGATGTCATCGGGTTTTATTTCATTCTTCCCACGCGACCTCGACTCGCTCCAGGTCGGAATACCGTTTGCCGTGCTCACCTGGCGAAAACAGGTAGTTCTCCCTTCATCAATCTGTACCGAAGGTGCAGCAACAAAACAGCGGACGCCACATACGCAAGATCCTTATCGTATTCCGTTTTCAGATATGACATAAGTTTCTTTTCAGCGTCGAAGAGGCTTCTCAAGGAGACGCGCGTTAGGAATTTCACCAGGAGACAGAGGGGGAATGCCATGAATCCTTGTTCCTTTGAGAGAGTGGCGAGGAGACAGAATGTGACGCTGGTCGCTGTTTGGCGCGGCGATTTGCCTCGAGCGGCCATCAATGCCCACAGCAGGAACAGCGCGCTCATCGTCTCGGCCCGTCCGACCACACCGGTCACCTGGAAAAAGTGCGCAGCTTTGAGTGATGTCACGAAGCGGCACGCTCAAGAAAAAAAAAAAAACGAAAAGACTTCGCAATCAGGGACGGGTCCCTAGTTCATGTACCGATTAGTACATATTCCCGATATAATATGAACGGACGCGTGGCAGAGCTTTACTGACCGCTTCTGTATGGACCGGATGTACGGCGAAAAGTAGTGCGCACACGAGAGCCTGCTTCCGAGACGTGAGCCATTGAGAGCAGAATCTGCCGAAGTTTGCAAGAACTAGCAGTTAAGGCCCAACCAACCTCATGAGCAAGTTTCCCGAGTGAGTTTACGTTCTAGCTCCACACATGCTGGAACCACGGGGATGCCGCGGGAAAAAGTCCTCTCTCTGTCAGAGACGATAATCAGAGATGCATACCTAAATTCATTTCGAGGGTCGAGGAGAGATCCCTATGAATGACCATAAATCTGCATGATATCGTGGCGTCGAGAAAACGTCTAGACGACTCGTACCTGAGAACCGAGAGGGAGACAGCCACATGGAGAGCATGGTTGACAACATGATAGCCCTTCGGGTGAAGACCATGCAGAGCATGATCAAGGCGGAAAGTGAGAACTGTCAGAGGTCGATAAGACTTGTGACTCTGTTCCTGGAAGAGAGAATAACTTCAGGAAAGGCCTCAACAGCATACCTGAAACCGGCTCCAAGATGTGCCCGCTCCCGCTACGTCCCGGATCCGATAGCTTGCTGACATCGTTGCGGGAGGCCTCCCGCAAGGTCGATATCTGCGGCCCGTGGCGTTTTCTTGTTGCGAGCGGAGCGAGAATGAGACCATCATTGCGACCTCCGCGGTAATGCCTTGCACAGCAGAGCGCTCGGGGTAACGGTCGGATCATGTCGCTATGGGCCATTCGGAGTTATCATTGCGAATGGTAAGATATGCTCCTTGCGAGCGAAGAATCCAGGTCGGACCAAGGACACCTCTAACACGAATCGGAGAATCTCGTTCCGTCTCGAGGACGCTCGTGATTCCTGCCGTTAAGCTCATCACATGATGCGCGCAACCTGTATGCTGTTTGCATTTAGACATCTTCAGCCGCCGTGAAGATTATGATGGCTTCTCAATGTTATCACGGTGAGCGATGATTTCCAGAAGCGGCCCCGTTCTCGGGAGTTAGGCTATTTGAGTCCGCTGTCTCAAGCAGCATTCGCCGTCTCTACGACGTAATTGTCCTTTGCCGTTTCGAGCCTGTCAGATGTCGAAAAGAGATGTATGAGAGCTCGGGGAACGCTCCTCTAGAGTGAGGGCAGGGACTTGGGAAGCTGCGAGCATTAACACCGGCTTGACATTCTTCTCCGCCTGTTGCCACCGCTGACATCGGCTGTAGACTGATGTTGATGGTGAAGGGCGACCGCCACGAGAAGCGTGACAGGTGGAGACCGATGAGGTCAACCGCGAGCCTCAATTATGTGCCTAAGAGGTGCAACTCTCTACCAGTTGAGTTCGGAGTCCCCACGTCGGCCGCTTTTCTGTCAGCTCTAGGGACTAATAGCGGACGAAATTGCCTCTTTGGAATATCTCGCCGTGCCCGGCCTTCTGTGGAAGAAGCTCGTCACAGGAAACGCTCCGAAGGAGTGGCTCTCCCCGGCGATCACCGCTCGAAAGCGGGAATAGCGACAAGAACTTTCTTGATAGTTTCCGCCATATGTCTCTCCCTCCAGGCTTCTCCTGCCTATCTGTTTCCCTTTTGACCGTGACCGCAATGCACCTCAACACGGGATATTGCTATCGTCCCCCCGGTCTCGGATCATCCCCAATTTCCTCGATACTCACCCTCGACATCGGTGTACCCCAGTAATCGTTGTAGAAAACATCACTGAGGGAAGTTTCGCCGTGCACGTCCTTATTGGAGACAATCGCAGATATGTCATCGAAAACGAAGCCGCAATCGTACGTATTTGCGTACACGGCGGCCGCAACTACGAAAACAGCTGCATAATGTCTCCAGAAGAGAAATGTCTGCAACGGAAAAAGTATCAAGGAGCATTAGCCCAAAGCGCGAAAGTTTCTCCATTCTAATAGCTTGTGCAATGTGTTGATGCCTCGAGTGCTGAGAAGAGCCCCGAATCGGAGTGTTATCTCTCAGTCTGCTTTCGAGGAGATGCAGCAGATGTTCTCGGAGTGTAGAGGCGACCGCTCCTCTTTCGTTTGTTCGTCCGCTCTTTCTGTGACCCGCTGGCTTGAACACTCATCACAAGTTTCGTTTTGTCTCTCGAGTGAGACGCTCACACAGTAGAGTGTTCAACCATAGTATCTCGGAGCAGAAGCGGTGCTTCACCTCACAGACAGCTGACAACTACGGACCGCAGTCGGAATTGACTGACTCGAGCTGTTGTCATCATCCGCATCTCTATAGATGTCGCTTTTCGAGAAATCCCTTCGCCGACCACGTATTCTGTCTCGTGAGACTCTCGAGTGAAACGTTCTGCCCCGCTGTTCCAGACTAGGTTCTTCAGAGCCGGGATATCTAAAGAGATGGGCTAACGGATATCCGGACGGTGTCGATGCAGTCCAAGGAACCGACAGAGTCGCGTCCATCGGAGCAGATCCTGAATTTAATCTCAAGGAAATACCTAATAGAAATCTCACGGCATAAACTGTGGGCTCGAATCGGGAAGTCGACGAAGACCTTGAGATTCTGTCCACAGCGAGTTCATCATGCTCGGACTGTCAACGGTTCACCGAGAATGATCAAAAGCATCCCTAGGGGCGTAGCTCTGAGGGAATTTCAGGATGCAGAGGACCTCTTCACGACGATACAGGTAGACTCTTCGTAATTGGGCCACGGTGACCGTCAAGGAGCTGAACTGCACCGCGCCCGGCAATGACTATATTAAACTTCATGATCCTCGATTCCGAGATCTGGAAGAGACGAGCATGGTTGCGTCGCGTCGCCCTGAATCCTGACCATTCTCCAAATCATTCCGAAAGTGCAGAGACGCAGCGTTTCCCAGCTTATGGCCAAACTCAAGGCCTCTCTCTGCCGAAGTGAGGGAAATCGGAGCGGATATAACATTGGCTGATCGAACAGTCTGAAAGATCACACAGTCCATGAAAGATCTTCATCCTCCAGACCGCAGAATAATGAACATATCGAATTTTCATGGTTCTCGAAGAAAAGAGCCGTTAGATTATCGATCGCAATACGAGAATACTCTCGAAGAGCTCGATCCTGACGTTCCTCTCTTATGTTGCACTCACGAACAAGGACAATGAGGAAACTACCCACAACAGACCTATCACCGAGCTCGATTGAGAGACACCCAGACGTCGGCGTCGCCACGCGACGCTAGTAGTCGGGAGAGACCGACGGAGGCTCGAGGTCCAACTCCCCGATGAGGGGGAGCCAGTTGCATTGAGGTTGGCCATGAGGCATGTTCTCGTTGAGCCAATGTCCCTCGAAAAAGACTTGCAGGCTGAAAACGGCTGCATCCTCAATGAGCTTTTGTCTCATGATCGAGCACGTTCCCGAGTTGGTGGCACAAAAGGGTTTTATGATGCGAGATTCCATCGATCCTGGGACCATTTTTTCAAAGACAGACAGAAAACAAACTCGGACTTGGAGCTTTGCGCAAGCGAGGCGGGAGGCAGGAAGTGCACAAACTCGACTATGATTGAATCTCGTCAAGATCCGGGGGGAGGGGGGATAATCGTCCTCAGACTTTCTGTGAGGATGTGTTCTACCTGAGTACCTACGGGAAGTTGTGATATGCGATTGGACTTTTCGCCGGCGACATCGCATCGCGGTCAGACAGTCTTCTTCTACGGTGATCAGAATGTCCCCCGTCGTGTTAATTTCTATAACGCCTATTCTCGGCATCTCGTAGGTACATATACATAGATTCCCTCATGGTTATGATCAGACCTCTCGAAAGCTTACTTCTCTTCGAACAGAACGCTCCCGCGCTCCCACTAACTTAATATATTGATACCGAGATAGCGAAGCACAGGCTGACAGTTTTCGACGATCGGGAGCTGCAGTCAGCATGACGGCCCCTCAATTATTCATATTCTCAACTTCTATCATACAAAGACCACGAACGGAGTACGGAGTCGATGCTCGAAGTAAAAAGGGAGCCTGCGGAAAAGGCGAGTCAGCCGTGGGAGGATCAGCTCTGACTGGCCTGTTTCTTGAATCCGAGCAGCGGTTTCCACCTCGGTGATTGGATGGACATTTCTGATGTCGATTCCCTTATGAACCCGCGGACAAAATGCGTTCGTGGGGAGCTTGCGGCACTTGGGAAAGATACCGTACTTCCTCATAATCAAGGGCATGCCCCTTGATCGCTCAAGAGCTCTAGATGGGTGCCCGTCAAGGAGGGGTCCCTCCTATTAGAGCATGCCCTCCCGACTGAGTGAGGGGATCCATAGACGAGGGCCGAGATCGAAGCTCCTGGTCTCATCACATCGTTTATTTTACTCGTTCCAACGAGTTCGAGTGAATATGTGGCCTCTTGGCTCGCGATAGAGAATCGGATGATGCCCCCCAATTGGAGGTTTCAAGTGTGCCCTTCAATCGGAGCATGCCCATCCGAGAACCCTCTCCGGAGGGTTCCCCTCAAAAAGAGCACGCCTTTGATTATGAGCATGCCCTCCGGTTGGAGGAATTGCGGTATGTGCTCCATATTCACGAGTTCAACTCTCTTGTTGAACCGGCTGATTCAACGCAGACGTGAACCATTCGTGAGGAAACCCCCATGGAGAAGGAAATCACCGTCAATAAAATAATATCTCAGGGATATGAAAAGTCCCGAAAGAGGACGCGCACTTGTAATCAACGACTACGACGAGCACCGACGGAGCCTGGCTGCCCCCCGCATGAGAATTCGCAGCCTTTCCCTGCAGCTTTTCTGTTTGCACGTACGCGAGGTTAACTACTTGAAGAAGTCGAACATCGCTGCTCCTGGAAATCCTATCACGAGACGCCTTCGCTTGATCGTCAGGGCTCGTTGATACAATTTCTCATTTCTTGTTGGCTATACGGAGGGATAAGATGGAAAGCAAAAGAAAATGATCCGCTGACTTCATAATGATGAGCTGGGCCTCGGAGCCTCAGAGACTATCGAGTTATAGGATGGATATATTCGCCATGACTTAGTCTGCGCAGTTCTCGAGGCCCGCAAGAATGACGGTCCCTTTCCAGGGTCAGCCGTCTTGGACTTCCGCTCGGAAATATCGAGGAAAGACCGGGCTCATGAGGCCAATTGATCAATTGATTCGGTGTGACTCGACCACCGCCGGGTAAGAGCTCAATAGTGTCAGTACCCACCTCATCGGTAGATTGAACGTCGACGTCCCGGTCTGGACATCGCGAGGTGACCTCGTTTTCTTTATTCGTTCTCCTATTGGAGTTTGCCTTCATCTTTGCACTTCACTTCCACAGCCTCTCCAAGAAAGCAGCTCTCCGCTCAAAAGTCATCACATTCCGAAAGAGGCATGTGAGTGCTCGCGGAGCAAGTCATACACTAACGGAGACCGCCACGTTGTGAAGGCGTGCTCAGAGGAAAGAGACGTCCTCCGAGGGAAAGAGATGGGCGGTTCTTGAGTCACGTTCGGAAACGTCAGCAAGATGGCTTTCGAGATGTTTGACATCAGTTTCTGAGCACGGTTTGATTAATTTCAGCCGATCTCTCGCGATCGTAATACTGATTCGATGACAGCATCGCTTGCGGCCTAGTGGAAGCGATCCAGTGGAGTCGGTATTGTTTGTGTCGCCAGACTCAGCACAGAATATGGTAGTAAAGATTGAATTTTCCTCTGTGTCCTCTCTGCCACCCCTTAAGGCTGCTCCACAGATCAGATCCGGAAATGAGATCGACCATTCAGAGGGAGGATCATCGCCAGCTCTGATAAGAGGCGAATCGTCCCGCTCTGCTGATGATTTATTATAGATTCCAGACTCAGAGTCTCGCCCAGTGGGGCTGGACTCAATTCGATTCCAAGTCCATCAGTGGCCACGATTGACCAGACGACAACCGGGGATTATTTATCGACAACGCTATGAGCCCATGACCATTGGGATGCCCTCAGCATCGTACTCAGCGTCTCAATTAACCGAGTACATTATTCGACGGGTTCCGATGAAGCATAGAACTCCTCGTTCCAGCATCCATGTAATCTTCTGTAGATTGATTCACTCGCAGTTGAAAAAAAATTCCGTCCACGAGCTCTGGACCGAGAGTAGAGATTATGAGCCGTGAAGCGTCCCAGGAGGCGATGCGCAGGTACGGTGGACCCGTTGATTGGATATAAAAATTTGGAGATCTGCAACCAGTGAGTCCTCGAGCGTTATAAAAACCCTTCTCGAACACTCGGGAAGCCCTGACGAGATGGTCTCGGAAGGGCTCGAGCGCAGAGTCTTGATCGTACGCGACGGGACCCATCAGGTCACCAGCATAATAATTCCGGAGGCTCGGAACGAAATCCTCAAAGACTCCGGAAGGAAGCGTACTCTCGTCAATACCTCGCTCGTCATTCTCGATACATTAGATCATAGGTGGGAGAGTGGCCACGTGAAGCTCAATACTTGCCGGTATTCGTAGCCGCGCTCAACAAAAGTTATCTAATAAGTGCAAAACATATGTATCTCCAGAGAAGGAGGGAGCTTGCTCATCCGATCCTCTGAATCACGGGCTGGCGTCGGGCCCGACCGGCCGATCCGTGGTTTTCGATTGGAGCGCCGATAATTCTGGAACCGTTGGCCAATGCTTCCTCCAATTTGAGACCCGTTTACACGTCTCGAGAAATTACCGTGGTTGGGAAGCAGCTCCCTGCATTGCGGTAAGATGAGCCTCAATCAACCCCGCCGCTCTTCCCTCTTCCCGGTTGGGGCGACGCAATTGTTCTTGCTGAATCCGGGTTTAGTGAATAATTATTTCTGGTGCAGCTGCGTGATAGCAAACTATGAATGTTTCCGACCATAAGCAGATGCTAGCAGCTCCAAGTTCGTCGCCGCTGGTACTGTGGTTGTCTGGACCATGTACATAGAGCAAGAGAGAGTAGCAAAAGAGGGTAAGGGGAAGGGCAGGGGGCAGTGGGGGGGAACTTCAAGCAGCAGGGAGAGGAAGTTTACTTCTCTGCCGGACCAGCGCTCGCGTGTTTCCCTCAAACTGTGCCAATTACGACCGTTTCCAATAGAGTACACGGTGCGTTTTTTCATGAGTATATGCTGAGTTGAGACGAAAAGACTCGGCGGTACGTGGACCATTCTCTGCAGAGAGGTGAGCCGGCACCTCCCGAGGGTTGAAAGAAATTCTAATTTGGACGCGTTTTGGTAAAGGGGATATTCGGCATACCTGCGGGGTGGAAAATTGCCGTGGAATGGTCTCGGTGTCGGGGCAAGCGTCTCTCGCGGAGCTGCACTCGCTCAGACTTCTCGTCTCAGCTGACGTGCTCTGGGCGATTAATATTGCGGAACCAATAAGCTGCGACGGTGTATATGTCGCTTGATTCGATGTTGAAACCGGCGACATGTGTCAGCAATCATAAGCCGGCTCTGAGTACATACTCTGTTGCTAACATTCGCATATTGGAGCTCAGCTGTTATAAGTGTTCTACAACAACTAACGAGTTGGCCGAGTTCGCTGTCAAGATGAAATGCTTGGGAAACTTGGATTACGGAGACAGTACAGTCGGACGCCCCCTAGGAATCTGCGTCTGAATCGATTCCAAGAAAACGATAGTGGAATCTGAGCGCTTTCCCCCACAAGGGATAAGTTTTTGGGTCGTGCAACATATTCAGCCTGAACCCGCGGACCGTAGTGAATCTTTCTTGTAAATCAGGCGGCGTGGCGAGGGAAATACCGCGATATATTCGCGCCGCCACACTTATCAGGATGCAATGGCCTCTCCGGGATTCACTCCGTGTTCCTTGGAATCGTAGTCTAAGCGTGATAGAATCCGTCGAGAATCCCATAACTCAGGTGTCAGAAACAGTGAAGAGGGATCCGACATGCCAGAGCGCCTTTGGCGGAGAGGTCCGTCGGATCCCGAAAGAGATTCGGAATGTTTATCGAATATTATCCCCCGTCGTTCGGCCACAGTAGGAGGTATTTGGGTCGGATGGGTGGAGGAGGAGTCGCCTCGATAAGAATTGGTATACATGTTTGCTAGGCTGCCGCTTGTTTCCCATCTATCCGACCGTCCGACACTCAGACAGTGCGGCCCTTCCGCCGGCCAGCGGCTCACGCATGCTTATAGACGGGACATGGTTGAGACATGTTTTGAGGTATGTCCGTCTCATGAAGTATCAGCCTAATTGCCGAAGCTCCTCATTCATGGTTTGGAAGTCCGGATGTCTTTCTCTCTCCTGATAGGAATCGCTTGGGGAGAGGAAGTAGCATTATTGGCAGTGCCAAGGGCGAACGGATAGCCGGCTCTGTCTCCGCGGTTTCTGGGCCGTTGTTGTAGATTGACAATCCAAGCCGAAATTGCAACTCTGCTCACGTGGTTCGACTTGAAGGGTAAACAGCGAGCTGGCCAGCAGCGGGAGGAAAGCGCGGTGTCGGAACAAGCCCAGGCGTTAATGTTCAATCGAGAGCCGACGTGAGTTGACTGCCTGAATGACATGCAGACTTCACCTGACTGGCTTGCTGTTCCCTTCCTGAGCCGTATGAGCGAGGAACTGTCGCGGAAAGAGGCAGCTCGTCTAATTTCTCCATTTCTTCCACGCAAGAGAAATCAAGACACGAGGAGCGAATCTCGACAGGAATGAACCTTCGACATCGAGGCTGAATTGCGAGAGGAGTCGGGCTTTGCCCTCGGTTATTTAGAGAATCAGTCGGATGCTGGCGTGGATGCCACCCCATTCCGGATGGAAGTGATGCTTCACAAACGGTCAGAGCGCTCTCTTGTTGTGAAGCGTCTGTCTGAAATCTAATGGCCTTTAGAAACAAACCGCGGGGGCGTGGCGGTCTCTCCATCGCTACGCCCCTCGCTCCCAAGCGGGGCTCGAAGAAAAATTGAATGGATTTAGCTTTCGACGCCAGATGCCTTCGCTGAGCGGCTGTTCGCTGTCAGCGTCGACTCCTCCGTTCAATCGGTGCTCTCCTCTTCTGCCGTCCTGGTGTATTCTTTTTTTTCAACTTTTCTGGTCTGGTCTCTTCTCCTGCAGATACCTGTCACTGTACCTACTCATCCGAAATCAGCATTCGAGACAAGGTACCTGAGTTAGCGCGGGAACGGAGAAGATAAGACACCGTCCCCCTGATCCGACCCGGCTTGTTTAGCTCATTGAGTTGGGTTCGCACGCTTAGGAAACACATTATTATTAACGATCATCTGCCGGTAGAACTTTGTTCGATGAACCAGGGCATGGTATTCCAGGAAGCCATAGTCGGCTCCCCCTCAGACCCAATACATTCGGCGGGCTAGACATTGCTTCATCATGTATTACGCTTTAGGAGAGATTGATCATTGATAGCACTGCTCGAGCCTGGAAAGGATCGAAATCTCCTGAAATTAGTCTCACCTCGCATTGAAGAGCTTGCAAGTGTTCGCTTCCTAATACATACAACATGATGAAACGAACGAGTGCGGAAATTTCCGTCGCAAATGCTCGGGTAGTGTCGGAGAACTTTGCGGGAACTTGGTCTCTCATTGTGGCCGCCCAAACAGGCGACAGAAAGTCAGGAGTAGTTCGTTCCCGGCTCGGAGGAAAAGCACGAAGAATGGAACAGCGGAGCAGGGAATGGGATCGAGGGCTTGGATTGGAGCGCGGACAGGGAGATGTGTAACATTCCAAAGATAATTTGCTGTCACTTCCGAGCTCTGTATCCAACAATCCACCCGCAGTCACTCATTCGCCGCTCTCAACACCCCGAAACTCAGACCAGACGTCGACGGTCTCCCCTTCAACTCCGGCGTTATTCGAGATCGGACAGCCGCTCAGGTACTCTCCCCAAAAATTCATCTCCGAAAACCCTCTCGAAGCTCCGACAGATATGGATCAATGAGACAGAACGGTACGCACCGATCATTTCGGGAAATCGATCCGACAAAGCCTCCGAAACGGATCGGTCTCTCAAGCGCGGCCGTACCCGTGCCAGCTCCGAGTGACGACGATGCAGACGACAGGGCTCCTGCGGCTAATCATCATTTGATCCGGAACATCCCGCATATCCTCAATATTCCAGTCAACGATTCGCGGGCGTGTCATTTGCATAGTTTTTCCCGTTTTCCTTCAGCATCGTAAGATCGGTCGCCGCCTCGTGCCCCTTGCGGCCGCGGACGGGTCTTACTCGCAGGCTCTCCTCTCTCTCCCTCCCGTTCGCAGGAACAAAAACCGTTAGTCACCATCCAGCAGCGGGGCTGCGATCAGTCGTCTAACGACGATTTAATGTTGGTCTACCTTCGGCTGGCGGC